GGGATTGTAAACTGACAAGGTCCTTGCAATCTGTGAGGTCAACCAAAGGTTGCCTCGCCTAAAAAAAAAAGAAAAGAAAAAAGAAACGAAAGCACAAATTAGCCAGACAGCACAGTTGTGTCCAAATACCACGTCCGTAATTCATGTCTGCTCACACCCCAAGATGCCTGATGATTGGATTCTAACTGACGCTGAGAAGGCACCTCCAGATCCTGTGGATGTGAACAAAATGGGACTTTGAAAACATGCCAGGACCACAAACTTTTGAGGGAAAGCAACACATGGTTTCTTTAAAAAGAAAAAAAAAAAAAGCAATTTGGCATCTATTCATAGAGAACGAGATTAAATTTAAAGGGAGGACCCCTGACTCCATCTGGCTCTCTCCCCATTGGCACTGGGGAAAGACGTTAGAGCAAGAGTTAGGGTTATTTCTCGTCTCTTACGGATTTTCTTCTCAGGGATCAAATATAAAATCCAAACCGACCTTTGTTTCAGAAATGGTCAACTGGACATTCTTGGCTTCCTGACTGTTTGTGCTCTCTCTCGAGCCACTTTCAAAGTAGAGTGACCAGCTCTCAGTAGCTTCTTGGAAATACACTTTGTTCTGTTTTTTACAGTGACAATGAATCCTAAACCTGAATGGTGCTAATGTTTTCGGAGAGAATCAGCCCTGGAGGGAGCCTGCTGGGCCAAAAGAGGATGAAGAGGACATAAATTTAATTCATTTCAAATCAACATAGACACAAGAACCTTTTGCTGTTTCTTCCAACACCCACTCTTCCTAATGATGGCATCACCTGTACTCGGAAGAATGTGCAATTGAGAAGTACGAGGAAAAGGCCTGGCTGACATCCATCTCTGAGGGTGGAGGAACCATATGATACACTCACCTCGAATCAATGGTTGATCCCTCTCAGCCAGCCTCTCGCTGACTGCACTCACTTCGGCCATGCTTTCTTTGTCCTTGTTACCTTTCTGTTTCATTCCTCAGGGTTTAAATCAGGAGGCTGTTTTATCTATGGTTTCCTTCTGGGTCACCTTGTTACCTAATTAGCTTTGGATAATTTCCTCTGATTAGTCAAGGCCTTTGATAGGTCAA